TGCATTGAAATCTATTGAAGTCACTGAAAAATGGTTCACAATTTTTTTAAGATTTTTCCGTTTTTCTGTTTTTCATTGTTTTACTTGCTTCTCAGTGACTGCAATTCATTAATATTTTTAATTAAAAGTGTCTAAATATCAATAACCGCGCACCGGCGTAAAAAAAGCAAAAATACGTGTCTAATTATTTTTCGTCCTCTACAATATAAACTCGAAAAAAATCGAAAATGATCGTACAAGCGCGGTCACTTTCCTTGTTAGTATAAAGTTAAATGCATATTCAACACAAATCTTATGTGTTAGAAGGATATTCATTATTAGATGAATTAGCTCGGATTTAATGCGATATTCAGTCATATAGTATTACAACCCATAATAAAATCTAATGTTTGATGAAAGAATGACGATTGTAAGTGATATTTTTCTCGAAATATTGAGGTTAAAAGTTTTTTGACCAATGGCCAAAATCGAGAGAACTGTTGACGAATCGAAAAAACTATGCAATCCATAATGTGAACCGACAACTTTTATGTATAAATAATAAGTCTCGGCTTTCTAACTCTTACGATCAAAGAATACGATCGGTTCAACTAAAAATCGAACTGAACTGTTTGACAGAAAACAGGACATTTTATTTCTCAAAATAAGTTTACTTTCTAGTTGATAATCAAAGGTTACTTCAGTAAAATGAGTTTCATAAAAAAATCCTTGTCCATAAACAAATAAAAGGCGATCGAAGTTTCAATTTTGGACTTGATTCTCTCGGAAACTGTCGATCCCAGAAACTTTTTAATAGCATCAATGGATTCAAGTTTTATTTCCTCACAAACTAACAAAGTCTAAATTTGTAAGAATTTATTTCTTACCCGTTTTTGCCCATTTTTATTTCAGTATGAGTCTCAATTTGTAAATGTCATAATTGTGTTGATTTTGTCTTTTTAGTAACAATTCTTGCTAGTTATTTTCAGGTTAAATTATTGCCTTTATGAGAAAGAATTAGTTTTCAAAATATTATACTTTTATTTGTCCCAAATCATTTCGATAATATATTTGATTGCAATCATTTCTTCAAGCCCGTGTCTTTACCAATATGTTTGTTTGTGATATCAGAAGCAAGCGAAAATCAAAATGAATTTGAACAGATTTTGATTTACAACAGAAGGATAAAGCAAAACAAGTTGTACAAATCAACAGTTAATCAAAAATTGTCCTCAAGGAATGAACGACATTCGGTAATGGATACACTTTTCCTGTCTAAACAATAAAGAAACATTGGGAGACAAGTTGATCATTACTAAATGAACATTATTCATCCATTGGCCAGGGTAACATGAGGTTAGCAAAAGGCCAAGAAACATCATGAAAAAGTGCATGATTTTCCGATTCCGGGTTTGCGGTTAGTGGTTGCGGTTCAACCTCAAGTTCACTTGGTTTGCTTTGTTCAGTTGGTTTAGGCGATGATTTTACTCGTCTTGCTGGTCGTTTCAGGGTCGGTGTTGGTGTCTCCGCATGAAAAGACTGGAGTCGCATGGAAGAATCGAACAAGAGAAAAAGAAAAGTTGAATCAATCAATTTGAACCTAAGAAGAAGACTCGAGTAAAAAGCCGAAGCAAAGCGAGAAAAGAAAACCATAAAAAGCGAATCAAAAGTCATCAGTCAAACTAAATTTTAGAAAAGGTTGAAAGTTCTTTTAGTGGGTTTTCACGTTAATTTAGCTCTTTAATTGTTGTTAGTTAGTAGTTTGTCAGCAATTAAGCAATAAAAGGCTTAGCAAATGGCTTGGAAAGTTAGTTTAGTTTAATAATGGTTAACAAATGAAAAGTTAGTCAACATTGAATAACAAAAATCAAGTTTAATTTAACAAACTGAAAAATGTAGTCTTTAGAGGTTTGATTAGTGACTTTATGAGATTTCATGGGATTGCATGAGAATGAGATTCTGATGAAGGTTAAAGCGGCAAATGGAAACAAAAAATCACTAAAGAAACTAAATGAATGCAATTAAAGGAAACTTGAAACATTCCAACCGCTCATGCAAAGTGTTTAGCATTTTTGTTTCATCAAATTTGCTTTCTTTCCTTCGTTTAGGACAATAGATTTGGACATATTAATAAAAGGATTTTGGGACAAAGTGGATGCTTTTTGGGCCAACTCTAGCATTGACCAGAGAAGGATGAAGGGACAAGGTGATGGGTTAAGTTATTTATGATCATTTACATGAGGAATTAAACCTCGAAACAACTCCATTGGAACGGGAAACACAATGGTCGAGTTTTTTTCTGCTGCGATTGAGCTCAGTGTTTGGAGGTAACGCAATTGAAGAGCAGCCGGTGAATCATGAATAACCTCGGACGCTTCCCTTAATGCACGAGACGCTCTCTGCTCTCCTTCAGCTGCAATCACTTTGGCTCGAGCTTCACGGGCAGCTTCGGCTTCTGTTGCCATAGCACGTTGTAACTGAACAGGTAAACGAACATCTTTGCTGTAATAAAAGAAGAGAAAAAAATGGACACAAATGAGACTCAAATGTACTGATGAATGTCTAAAAAGGCTTCAAATTTAAATATTGAAACTAAACTCAAATCATTTCAATTAAAAATTCTATTCATGTAAATGCTCTAATTTTGGACATTTCATTAATGAACAATGTTTAAGTTTCATGGCTTGTTTCATTTCAAATCTATTGCAGTTTCAAATAAACAACGAAGTTACCAGAAAAAAGTGTATTTTGTCCAAGAAAATTTCGCTTTTTACTTTCGCTTGCAATTTATTTTTGTTCTAAATGTTGATATCGCTTGAACCAGCACAATTGTGTCTTATATTAAACTTGAATTTAATTTAAAACTAAAAATTAAATGAGAAAATGCAGAAAACGTAAAAAGATTGTTGGTAAAATGGTCAAGATATGGATTCTGTTGAGAAGCAAATTTTTTATAAACTTTGCAATTTAAGTTTCTCTTGAAAGGAATTTCATGTTTATTCATAAAGATTCTGCTTGAGTATTATCGGGAAATTGGAAAATATAAGGATGGAAGGAGTTGCAGGATGGAGAAGCACAATAACTCCAAGCTTAAGCAACTCTCTCGATTATTTCCAACTATTCTAACTTTGAACTTAAAGTTTTATTAAAGTTTAAATTTGAAATATTTGATTTAACTAGACGTTGATTGAGTGATTGGCCGATAAATTTCCTAATTCGTGGAAGTAATTCGAGAAATGTACTGAAAATTGTGTGCCAAATGTGCAAGAATGAAATGAAGAGGAAAAGTTCAATTTAATTTTTGAACTGAGAGTAAAGTTCCTTGAGAGTAACTTGATATTTGAGCAATAATGGACTTTACTTATCAACATGGACTCATAATGGTTAAAGATTGGTCAAGTTTAAGGATCCCTGGTTAGTAACCATTAGAATCATGGATTGGTTTGATTACAAGAAATGATGATTATTATGATGAACACATTGAGGAATGAATTGTAAGGAAAGTTGAGGAATGGCGAGCAAAGGAAAGAATGAAAAAAGATGATGTTGATGATAATGAAATTGAATGAGGTGAAATGGAAGTTGTTGAACGTGTTTATCGAACCGTGTTTTTGGTCAAATTTGGCAAAAAATTGTTTCCCATTTCAGTTTATTAGGACAACAATTAAATGGTCCACCAATTTGTCTAGTTATTGTGGACAACAACAAGACCAACAGAAAGACTGATTAAAGACGATAATAGTTGAAAGTAATTTTCATTACTAATGGCTTAATGGGCTGGGGAAGGACAAAAGATGAAGGAAAAGTTGTTAGTCCAACTGTTTTATTATTAGAAACAACAATGACCATCAATGATGGCCAACGATCTATGATTCCTATCACAAATGGACAAGTTCAACATGAATGTGAAGATGAAAATGGTTCAACAGAAAAGTATGTTTACAAGCGCTATGTGATGTACAGTTTTGTCGTTGATTCAACATTAAATGAAACTGGACTTTGACGACAAACTTTTCATTCTTGGCTCAACATTGAATGGTTGCCTTTGCTTTAGTTTTAGTTTGGTTTAATCAAAGTGAAAATACTAATTAACTGCAAATTATGCAAATGGTTGGACTGTTTGACCTGAGATTGGGAGTAATGTTGATCCATCAAATGGTCAATGTTACACTTGGTTGATTGGTTGGTACAAAAGGTAATGATTCAAGGAAAGTTCGAGTTTCTGTTATGCATTATTAATTGATTAAAATCATTTAATTAACGTTATTTGAAAGGATGAGAGTGTGATTAGCAAATGGTTTAGGCAATTATGTTTCAATATTTTGCGTTTATTGTGCGTGATTGTTTTACTTTTGCATAGTAAAGCTTTGCTATTAGAAATGATTAACTTATTGAATATAAAATTAAACCAAATTGGGTTTTCATAGTTTATGATCAATTGCTTTACAGCTAACAATCGAAACAATGTTTGAATGAATTTGCTTTCTGATCAAGTTAAAATTCCTGGTAATTACAAAACGCCATTTCATCGATTCTTTCAAATCTTTTAGTCACTCAAATCGGCTTCATTTTACAAATTTTAAAACATTCAACGATTCAAAGCCTTTAAAAGTTGAAATAAGAAGTTGTGTGGTCGTTTCTCTGCTTAAATTGTTAACCGATTCATTTTCAATCTGCAATTTAAACAGTTAACTTCACAAGTTGACTTCATTAAATTATTTAACTTGCACTATTTGTAGACTTGATTATGTTGGAATTGAATCTTGTTTTCTCAATGATCTTTGCAAATTAATCATATTTATCATGTTTAACAGTTGATTTACTTGAAGTTAGTTTATTGCTTTGTCCTGCATAGTTAACCAATGAAACTAAACAATCATTAATCAAGCGACAGGCAACTTAATGAACAAAATGTTGGGAGTTGCGTTAAATTATTTTAATTGTCATTTTTTGGGGATTGCACTTTTTACCATAATAGCAGATAATATCGTTACTTAAGGTTAAATTGTGTGTAAACGTTAAACACTCTCTCACAGTGAGGCTTAAACTATAATGATGAGGACTCATTGATTAACCTTGCGAATTAAGAAATGTTAAGAATCATCGTTTCTTCCTTGAAACCATTTATCAATGAAATGTCAGTAATAATAAATCTCTGGTCATCATATTTCACTGGATAAGTCAGTGAAATATGATGTCCATTGTAAGCAGTTGATACAAGTTGACTTACATTTCAACCCTTTCCACTTTAACACCCCACGGATCCGTTGCTTCATCTAAACTTGTCTGCATCACATGGCTGATTGATTCGCGTTCAGACAAAATTTCAGATAAATTTTTGGTTCCTAAAACGTTACGTAAGGTTGTGGCCGCCAGTAAACGGGTTGACCGTCCATAGTCTTCAACATTTGATACTGCAATGGCAGCATTACTTATACGATAATAGACAACAGCATCAACTGCAACTGTAACTGAATCTTTTGATAAAATCTGAAGGAAAAGGGAATTGAATTGAATGTGAAAAATACTTTTTTGGAAAAATATTGATAAGTTTACCTCTTGAGGGGGAACATCGAATGAAACTGTTCGTAAATCGACTTTGGAATATGTATCAATACAGGGAATGATGAAAAATATTCCAGGTCCTTTAGCTCCACCAGGTAATAAGCGTCCTAAACGAAATATTACCGCTCTCTCATACTCTTGGACAACCTGAAAGTCGAAGAGAAACAAATAAGTCAAAGGCCATCAAAATATTACAAGCAACAATAGAAGATGAACTTGCAAATGGCACATGAATAAACTGCGAAAAATTGACTCTTCACAAGTTTCGGCAACAAAAAGTCGAATTGCATTTTCAACTAATAACTTGCTGCAGCAAACTGAGAAAACTGCAAAAACAAATGCTTAAAGCTAAAGATTTTTATTGATGCAAATGTTTTTGCAAGGCAGTTTTATTAAATTTTATTATCATTGAACAGTTCTCACTGTTCAATGTTCGCTTGCAGATCATTCTAGTTACCTTGATTGAAAAGAAGAGCGATAAAGGCAAGAAGATAACAATCAGTATCACAGAAAAAGTGGTCAGTAGATAAGCACATGTACCAGGATTTTCACCAACTGTGGCTGTTGAATCGAAAAGAACATAAGAAAAGGTTAAAGATGATTGAATAAAGAAAAGTTATATTGCTGAACAATGAGAGCATTTAAGTTTGTACACCTCCAAAGATCGACAGTATCGTCGAATCTCTTAACACTTTTCTTTCCCACTCTTACCCACAGAATCCACCAACAATTTCACTCAGGAAGTTGGTTTATGCATCTTTTTGCCTTTAAGATTCTGTAATTTAGCTGAATTGGGATAACTTTAGATCTATTTTTGTTAAACAAGTAAATCTTTTGAATCAACATTAAAAGTCCAATGAAGTACGATCTTTTCTTTCTGAATCCCTCGAAAAAGTCTTAATCATCGCTTAGTCTATAGTCTTAAGCTTGTTCAAATTCAAAATCAATTCAAAAAGTCCTTTTATAAAATCTAGAACAATTTATGCTGCTTTACCTAAATCAAGGACCAGAAAACGAACTGGCATTGGGTTAAAGCTATGGACCTTTTTCAACTCCAAATGATTGTTTATGCAAGTTCGTTCCTGAGTTTTTCAAGTTGAAAACAAGAGCGTTTTCGCTCAAAAAATGGTTCGAAAAATGAAATCATTCGACTGCAATCAATTTCCAATTCCATATCAATATTTAAAAGGCTAATCTCACAAGTGACTTGTTAGTTCAACCTTTAAGTTTAAGCATTTGGATGTTTGCTATTAGTAGAACCAAAGAAATCTTAAATCATTGAGATATTTTAACACTTGAGTTGATATGAATGTTTTAATTCATTATTTCGTGGGATTGTCATTTCAATTGAAAAGTTCTGAAACATAAAATCCATCGTTTTGTCATTAATGAACGTTAAACCAAAGCAATCGAACAAAAAAGGAAACATTTTTTGCATAAAATGTATTATTAGAAGCAAAGAAAACAAAATTATTATAAATGTTTTGCTTGTTAAAAAGACATGAATTATTTATGAAAAGCATCTTAAAGGTATTAATGTAAACTTAAATATTTAAATTATTACAGTTCATCTCAAGTCAACTTTTAAACAATTTAAATATTATAATATTTGCATTATTATTTGGTTGTCTCTTCAATTGTAATCTAATTTCATGGATAACAAGGAATGATTGAGTTGCAATTGTTATTGAATGTGTAATTGAATTGAAATTCAGAGCAAGATTGTCGAGGCAAACAATGGAAACAATGTGAAACAAAAAGGACTAATCATGATGATTCCGATCAGCCAATCTGAATATCATTAGAGTAATTACGTTTGATAGAAACAAAGAGAAAAGACTTAACCATTTACAGAATTCAACATTTCCACTTATGTCAATTAATTAGCTATTCAAAAGTAAATAATTAACTTTCAAGACTTGAAAAATAATTTCAATTTTCCCCTTTCCTTTCCATCTGAACACAGTTAAACAAAACGTTGAAGAAACGTTGGAAAAGGGAATAAATACGGAAAAAAGGTTTTCACTCAAAACAGTTTAATCCATTTAATTATGCAAGTGTGAAAAGTGAGTGGTTAATTTGTTAAGTTAATCAGCAGGTTAATTGTTTTTCAATTTGCACCAAACACAGTTTAAATGAATGAACAAATAATCTTTTAATTGAACGAAGTCGACAATGAATAATTAAAAGGCTTTTGTCAACATTCGTGATATTTCTGTACAAAACTCAAATCTTAAGTTTGCAAACCAAGTTCCAATGAACGACTATCGATTGATCAAGACTGAGATGTTTTGTTTTAAAAACTTCATGTTCCTCAGGCAATATCCATTTGTCCTGATTTCTGTATTTTAGTTGGACAAAAGTTCTCAGTCGATTTCAAGAGTTTAGACTTTCGGTTTTCACCAAACTTCTTCTGTAACATTTGAATATGTTTTATTGATAAAAGTCATTGGGAGGAAAACAATGGATTAAAGTTGTTTAATAGCTTTGCTTGGGTCTTCATGTGTCTGGTTAACTGGGATTGAATTGAACTCCCAGTGCATATCATTGCAAGAGTTATCTCAATTTGCTCTTTATTTTGATTCTTTTTGCTCTGACCAGTGGAAATATTGTTTCTCTTGTCAACTCTTTCAACATGTTCAGTAAATTGTATTAAATGTTTCCCTGTTCCCTGTGAAACCTGAAACTAACATTTCCATGTTTCGATAAAATTATCTAATAGTTATCTGGTTGACGGTATTTCCAAATGTCAATGTTTGTGACTTTTATGTTCATGTCCTTTGGTTCAATCACCATATTATTCAAAGGCATGTTAGTCCAACAATAATCCAATATAAACACAATACAAGATCAAAACTCAAACTGATAACTTCCCATGGATTCATATCTATTCACGAGTGAATCCTTTTCCCACATTATTCCAACATTTCATTATTTTCTTATTTACACCATTTAAATGCAACTTATTCTGAATAATATTTCAGATGAAGTTACATCAGTCTGACCAGCATTTACAAGGAAACAATTGAATTACCTTTGCTTTACCATGAAAATGATGAAGCAAACAATCACAATAACAATAGTAATTGAAACTTTCAAACTCAATGGTTTCTAATGAAAGTAAAGTCATTTGCTTGCAAAGTGTTATTCCAAGTCTATTGATGATGATTTATGATTACAGATAATGATGACAAAATGCTTTCACTTTTCATTTGGTCAATTCTGCCTTTCAATTTTCGATGTTTGCTCAGTCATTTTCTGAACTACCATTCAAGACACAAACCATTTCTGGTAATAATCATATTCCCTGTGATATTGGGTTGATATTTAAAAAAGTCTAGTTTATCATGAGAATCATTTTGGCCAACACTTTTTGGTTCCTTTTTACACACAATTAGGGCTAACAGAAGAGGAAACAGAAATGCTGTGAAAAAGGAAGAAAAGTTTTGATAACTTGAAACAAAGCACATAAACTCAAGTGGCTCGACTATCATTTTCAGTTCATGACCTGACCAGATAATAAATCATTCACAGTCTTACAAGTTTTAGAAGATAAAAAATCTCCGATCTTGAAATCCAAACTCAAGTGAATTGAGCAAAGTGAATAACTTTTCAATCTTTTTCAAAGGTAAAGATCAATTTTAATGAAAATCATCAAACTTATGCTACAATCAAAATTAGCCTTCAAAGGGATTGAAGAAGATATTAAGAGATAATATGATTTATAATAGAAATAAAAAATTCTAAAAATCAGATTTTTCGTTGCAAGCCGTTTTCGTAATGAATTTTAGTCTAATATTCATTGATTTCCCGATCATCTGAACACAATAAAACATTAACAATTGCAAGACAAAATCAGTTGAATGTTTAATGTTTTGCTCTTTGGGTCATCCATTTCAGGTTGGACAATTACACTTAACGGATTTTTATTTTTTCATTGATGCAAAATATCTCAATATTCCCGTTAATGTTAATCAGGGTTTTATGAAATTAATCAAGGAATAAATCAGTCTCTAAGAAAGGGATTTTGGAATGAATATGAAACTTTAATTTGAATAAGATTTAGATTTACAAAGTATTCAGAAAATCTAATCGTGTTTAAGCAAAACACTAATTTGAGCGACCCTAAGGTTCCATAGTTAATCGTCTCGACCTTTTCTAATTGAAATTGGTTCAAATTTGGCTTCGAATGAAACTTTTTTTGTCCTTTCTCTTCGCCCGTTAAAGTTTCATATTTCATTTTAAAGTTGAAGCTGATTCAGTAATTTCATAGAGTAATTTTGTGTGTCAAATCAGCGTGAGTGATAATGATGATGATCACAATGATGAGAAAAGTCAATTGAAAACTTGAATACAATTGATGGTTACAATGAAACAGAAATTTTTTCTTCATGAATTTTTTCCTTGAAAAAATCCTTTTCAATGAATTCCTTTTTTTCTTTTTCTTTTTCTTTTCCTTCTTTTCAGAATAAAAACAAGAATCACACTTCTCAATCAGATCAGATCTTTTATCACTCCGTTAAACTTTAGTGAGAGAGCAATAATGATGATGATAAAAATGATGATGAAAATGGCTCAGCTTTTTAGACCATCAGGAGAAAAAGCTCAAACAAGCTGAACAATCTGAAAGAATCATGAATCAGATTTTGGGATGAAATGGGAGAAAAAAGTGCTCAATAAAGCAGTAAAAAAATATGAACACACTTTTCAAGTGTTACATTTCCTTTTCCCTTTACTTCATCTTTAATCTTATCAAGTGTCACAATATTTTACACTTTTATTTCATGATATATCATTGATAATATTTACAGAGATTTTTATACCCAACAATGAACTGAAACTTGAAAAGATTTGAAGAGTTGAAAGAGAAGAAGAAAATTGTTGAAAAGCTTTTCTTTTTTCCCTCTGAAAAGGTTTATGATAAAGTGATTCAAGGAAATCGTCTTATTTCAATCATTTAACCTTTCACAACTAATAATTCATTTAACTTCAATTCAATCCCACTAAACTTGACAATTAACCGGACAACAGTCAAAGATCAATAAAACAAGATTGGTAATACTGAGCGTTTTCAGCCTTGACGGTGTTTGTATTTATAACTTTTAAACCACAGGTCAGATCTTTATAATATTTAGTCAGTATAACTCCTGAAATTGAAAAACCACAAATCCATGAGCCAATCATCAATCGATCTGAAAAAGTTTGAACTTTCAAAAGACAACGTTCAAAGGTCGATTAGAGGTCAAATAACTGAATGACCTTGAATGTCCTTGAGTTTGCTTTTACCCAAATCAAATTAATATTGAATTGATTAGTTGATGAGCTCTGAACAAGTGAACCTTTATTATTATTCAACTGAATAATGTTAACAATGGTAAAAAGAAGAAGAAGTTAAGAAAAAAAATTTCCCTTTATCAATATCCATTGCTTAACGCCTCTTCCCTAGAACTGATGATAAACGCTCTTCTTGGTCTGTCCACTTGCACCGTGTATGCTTCAGCGTCCGTAGCGTCCAGCCACTGTTTTATTTCCTGAACACTTCTGAGAAAAATTTCTTGACC